ACACAACACATGTGGGGCAACACAAGAGTGGGCTTTAAAGCCCAGACCCCGCACATACGCGTCACTGGGTGGCCGATGTTCCTGTGCTGAGACTTACTGCCTGTTCCCAGCACAAAGACCGGGCTGTCAAAGACAACTCTTGGTCCCCACTAATAATCAGGACCGGATCACGTGACCACTGTGACAGCCAATCACAGTGGTCATATGTACACTGGCTGTTTTAGTGATCCTCTGGCTTCAGCACTAATCAGTGGCGGACTGACCATTCGAGCACTTGGGCACTGCCCGAGGGCCTGGGGTCAGTAGGGGGCCCCATAAAATGCCACTGGTACCTTTTACAGGCTTTTATGGGTGTGCTTTGAGTTTGGGCAAGGACACAGAGGCCCCATGATCCCCTATTGCCCAGGGGCCCCATGAGTTGTCAGTCCGCCTCTGGTACTAATCACTGACCCACAGCAATGTGAAGATCTGAGCTCAGTTGCAGCAGGCTTCTTCCAAGCCGGCGACTCAGGAAGTATTATATTGGACTACAGAACACCTCCAACTTCACCATCAGCTCCAAAACATAGGTGGAGGTACTCAGTAGTTCATGGCTGGAAAAGGTGATAACACTGTTTTAAATTTCAGTTCAGTGCACAGGATGTTACTAGCACACTGGATCAGGCAGGAGCAACATGAATTTCTCTGTACTTGCAGAAAAAGTATTTAGTCTGTAAAAAGGAAACTAATGCAGCCAACACATTATAAGACTGGCAAGCTGCATTATATTAAACTCTTGTCCTTGGATTTACATATGTATTGTTGGACTGTTAGCACACATGTATTAGGCATGGTTCATACCTCCAGGTGCGACCAAGTGCGAACACGTTCACACGCTATGCATGTAGGGCAGGCAATACATTTCAGTGGGCTGCTCTATGCACGAAAAATTGCATGTTTCTTTGCATCAAGCCACATGGTGTTGCGCATGCATGCGTTATGAGACACATGGGGGTACCATTAACAAATAATGGCACCACCACGCTTTTGCTAAACGGCAGCGTATTTCTCTGTGTGTTGCATTTTTGCACATGTTCCCGGCACGCAGTAGTGTGAACCCAGCATTAATGTGCATTGTGTTCAGGGCGCTCATTCATTTGGAGGAGGGGGTTAACACACCCTAAGAAAGGTGCATGCAGCATTTTCGGCAGTGCAGAACATGGCAAAGCATGTTAGTGAGTTGACATACATTGTGCTGCACTGCGAAGGTGTGTTATACACGGCATCATGCCAAGGTACATAAAACACAATACCACAGCACAGTAGTGTGAATGGGGGCATCGTTTTGTGTAGGAGTTTGCATCATGTTTAATGAGTGTTCAGATGTAGCCCACTCTTTTAGGTTACTGTTGTGATAGTCATCTACAGTTATGGTCATCCAATGGTCATCTGCAGTTATGTCCTCTACAGTATATCTAATGGTCACCTACAGTTATACTCATCCAATGGTCATCTGCAGCTATGTCCATCTACAGTTACCTAATGATCTACAGGTATAATAATCTACAGTTGTCTAATGGTCACCTACTGTTATCCAATGGTCTTCTACACTTATGGTCATCTACAGTTATTTAATTGTCATCTACAGTTATGGTCATCTACAGTTTTCTAATGGTCATCTACACTTATGGTCATCTACACTTATCTAACAGTCATTTACAATTATCTAATAATCTTTTACAGTTATCTAATGGTCTTGTACACTTATGGTCATTTAATGGTCATCTCCAGTTATGGTCAGTTACAGTTATCTAACGGTCTTTTACGGTTATGGTCATCTACAGTATCTAATAGTCATCTACACTTATGGTCATCTACAGTTATCTAATGGTCATCTACACTTATGGTTGTCTACAGTTACCTAATGGTCTTCTACAGTTATGGCCATCTTATGGTCATCTACAGCTATTTCCTGGTCTTCTACACTTATGGTCATCTACAGTTATCTAATTGTCATCTACAGTTACAGTCATCTACAGTTATCTAATGATCATCAACAGTTATCTAATAGTCATCTACAGTTACAGTCATCTACAGTTATCTAATGATCATCAACAGTTATCTAATAGTCACTACAGTTATCTAACGGTCAATTACAATTATCTAATAATCTTTTACAGTTATCTAATGGTCTTCTACACTTATGATCATCTAATGGTCATCTACAGTTATGGTCAGTTACAATTATCTAACGGTCTTTTACGGTTATGGTCATCTACAGTATGAAATAGTCATCTACACTTATGGCCATCTACAGTTATCTAATGGTCTTCTACAGTTATGGTCATCTTATGGTCATCTACTGTTATACAATTGTCTTCTACACTTATGGTCATCTACAGTTATCTAATAGTTATCTACACTTATGGTCATCTACAGTTAGCTAATAGTTATCTACAGTTATGGTCATCTACAGTTATCTAATGATTATCTACAGTTATCTAATGGTCATCTACACTCATGGTTACAGTTATCTAATAGTCATCTAGAGTTATCTAATGATTATCTACAGTTATTTAATAGTCATCTACAGTTATGGTCATCTACAGTTATCTAATGGTCTTTTACACTTATGGTCATCTAATGGTCATCTACAGTTATGGTCAGTTACAATTATCTAACGGTCTTTTACGGTTATGGTCATCTACAGTATGAAATAGTCATCTACACTTATGGCCATCTACAGTTATCTAATTGTCTTCTACAGTTATGGTCATCTTATGGTCATCTACTGTTATACAATTGTCTTCTACACTTATGGTCATCTACAGTTATCTAATAGTTATCTACACTCATGGTCATCTTCAGTTATCTAATAGTCATCTAGAGTTATCTAATGATTATCTACAGTTATTTAATAGTCATCTACAGTTATGGTCATCTACAGTTATCTAATGGTCTTCTACACTTATGGTCATCTAATGGTCATCTACAATTATGGTCGGTTACAGTTATCTAACGGTCTTTTATGGTTATGGTTATCTACAGTATCTAATAGTCATCTACACTTATGGCCATCTACAGATATCTAATGGTCAGCTACACGTCTACAGTTACCTAATGGTCTTCTACAGTTATGGCCATCTAATGGTCATCTACAGTTATTTCCTGGTCTTCTACACTTATGGTCATCTACAGTTACCTAATGGTCATCTACAGTTATGGTCATCTACGTTTATAGGCACAACATTCTATCTGTCTACAGTTCTACCCAGAGCAAGGCTGCTATATATTGTACAGAAGAACAGAATATTATGGACGCCTCCAAAACCTAAATAGGCACAATGGGACCAGGTAGGTCAATAATATTGATTACAAAATTGGCCGCTTAAAGCTGAACTCCAGAAATGTATAAAAGACACAATATAATGCCGCTTTCCATCCATTCATTGATCATTAAACCCTTTTTTTTTCAAATGCAAGCAGTGTAAATGTCTGAAAAAAATTAGATTTGTTTGCAATGCCCTGTAGAGTATTTCTGGCAATGGAAGAGCAGCATTGCCAGCCAATTGGTTGCACTGCAATAGCTACTTGCTAACAAGGAACATAATGATAGGGAGGAGAGAGCAGAGTGATAATAAGTTAAGGTCATCGATCTGCTGCTCTTTCACTGTCTATTCAGCAAGCTGGAAGTGCAGCAGAAGGGAAGGGAAAGGGAAGGGAAGAGAGGAGAGGGGGGGAGGAGAGGAGAGTAGATGATTTCAGAACGTGTATATGTTATCTCTTAGATTGTAAGCTCCCTGGATCAGGGCCCTCCTAACCCTCTTGTATTGAACTGTATTGTTGCTGTATTGTCTCCTTTATATTGTAAAGCGCTGAGCAAACTGTTGGCGCTATATAAATCCTGTATAATAATAATAACAAGGGCTTAAGCGTTGACAATAAAACCTGGAAGCTGATTGGTTACAATGCACAACCATACCAGATTCTGAGTGCACCAGTTTTAGTAGATCTTCCCCATAGGCTAACATGGAGGAGCATTTAGAGGCAGAAAAACAAAAAGGCAAATGTCTGTAAAACAGGCGTTTTTTTTTAGGTCAAATGTGCAGGAGGACAACTTTTCGCAACCCATCAGTAGCACAAAATATCCTTCAAGCGGACGACTGTCCAGGACACGACGAACCTTTCTTTTGCATCTATGAGAACTTCGATTGGGCCAATCTGGTAAGATGCGAACAGACGACTCGGCTGAGCAGATCACCGTTAATCTGAGCAGCGGCATGTAAAATAAGCACGATTGTATATTTAAAAAGTCAAGAGGCACTTGCGTGTTTTTTTGGGGTTGCTGGGAACAAACAATACAACAGATGTTTTGCAACTGGAGAGCGCAAGTCAGCGAAACCCCATCTCGTATCAGACGTGGAGCCGTACCATCATTTCCAGATACAAAGGAAGGTCTTTGGCCCCCCAAGTGTCCCCCCCCCCCTCTCCTATCTCGTTCACCAAACACTTTAAATTTTTACAACAGACCTGATTGCGTTGTTCTGCAATTACGAGATCGCAACTCACAAAGAATGAGCCTTTCTCTTCCAAAAGCTAAATATTGTTTTCATCTAAAATCTATTATAGCAACTTGGAGCTTTGCTACTCCATAAGCCTCGTGTCACTCCGGAGTTCTCTGTGCATTAAGAGGATCTGCAGTTCAATGGGCAGATAAAACAACATTATCATGATGGAGGCGGCTCAGGGACGCAACACAAAGAAAAAGGGGGGGGGGGGATGAAAAATAAATAAATACATAGAAAAAAGCAACAATGTATCCTTACAGAGAAACTGTAGGCTGGTATTAGGAAATCAGCCTTTCCGCCGGTTCTGGTGCCTTTCTGGTGCTAATGTCATTACCCGAAATCTATTTTTATTTTAGGGGGGCTATATTTAATGTGGGGGGGTACATCTGCGTTTTAATTTATAATTCATTGAAAAATGATAATACATTTTCTGATTTTATTCATACATTGGACCAGGGGCGGACTGACAACTCATGGGGCCCCCAGGCAATAGGAGATCATGGGGCCCCTGTGTCCTTGCCCAAACTCAAAAAAGCCTATGAAAAAGGTACCAGGGGCATCTCATGGGGCCCCTTACTGCCCCCCTGGGCCCTGAGGCAGTGCCCGAGTTTCCAAATGGTCAGTCCGCCCCTGCATTGGACACACAGGGGTTTATTTACTAAACCTGGTTGACTCAGAATCTTGTCCACTTCTGCATAAAAACCAATCAGCTTCCAGGTTTTATTGCTGAAGCTTAACTGAACATGCTGAGGTTAGAAGCTGATTGGCTACCATGCACAGGTGCCCAAGATTCTGAGTCAACCAGTTTTAGTAAATCTCCTATACAGTCACATGACGAGTCGCAGCCTGTGTATTTCAATGGAAGCCGTTCAAACCTACGCAACTTTTATAAAAGGTTCCCGCACTGGTTTGATGCAACTTTCATGCGACTTGAGCGCCATGTAAACATTCAAAAGTCGCGTGAAAGTCGCGTCTTAGGGCTCGTTCACACTTGACTTTATTTCTAACTCTTGTCAAACGCCCCTATAGTGTTTGACAGGCGTTTGGGAACCGTTTTTAACGCTCCTCAGATGCTCCCCAAATGCCCTATGCGCATTTTTGAGGCATTTGCCAAGCGTTAAAACCGTACCACAAATGCCTATAATGAAGTTAAATGGTATTAACCTCCCTGGCGGTATTATTATTTCAGATTTTTGGTGCTGAAAGCGGTACCATTATTTTGCATGGAAATATGTCGTTTTTTTTTATTGCAGGCCTATAATTTTTAGGAATAACTCACTGAAATCTGTCCGAACAAGAGTCTAGTAAACATCCCGGGGAGGATAAAACTTGAAACACGAAATCATAAATTATAATTTAATAAATAAATATAAAAAAATAATAATAATAAATTTAATTCAATAATATAATCAAACCAAAAACACTGAAATGTGAAATAGAGCGCCAAGTTCGCACATCGCTGAGCTCAGTCGCAAAATCGTTTTCAGTGTCTGATGACGAATTTCCCCCACGAATCATTATCACTCAATTCTGCAAGTGGTTCTGATTTACTATCGCTGTTCTCTAGCCGGTCTAAAACCACTTTTGACCTAAAAGGACGCTTTTTGGACGCCATGGACGTTTCTCAGTTTCCTGGCAGAAAGAACAGTCAAAATGCAGACAGGGCGCCGGACAAAGCACTCGGGACAAAATGTATGTGAAATGCATTGAAACAGCAATGTTTTGCTATGTAATATTCGTATACAAAAAAATGACAGTTTTTAAAATTTTTAAATTTGCCGCCGGTTTCGGCCCCCGTACGTCCCGACATCACAGGGACCAGAACACGGAAGCCGGATGCCGGCATCGGCCGGAGGAGATGGCCAGGGACACTGCCGGGGGGACATCGCGGGAGCGAAGGACAAGGTAAGCTCTGCAGGGACTCCCTATGCAGCACCGCATGGTAAGCCCGAGTGTAGTTTGGGGTTACCGCTTTTGGTACTGAAACTCTACCCCGAGCTACACTCGGGAATACCGCCAGGGAGGTTAATGCCAGGCATTTGAGGAGCGGCACCATAGACTTGAATGGTAGGCTTTAACCCCTCCTGACTTGACATGAGGCCTCAGTTTTGCCGTGACGCCACACGAAGAATGTGCAGAATTTTCACCGGCCACTGACATTTTTTTCCCTAATCATATTTCTGACTGTTTTTCACTCGTTTTGCCTTTGGCTCGGGTCAGTGTCACTACTGGTAGTATGAGGCCATACCTGGACCCTACAGAGGTTGCACAGGCAGTCCAGCTCCTCCAGGATGGCACATCAATACGTACCATTGCTAGAAGGTTTGCTGTGTCTCCCAGGACAGTCTCAAGAGCATGGAGGAGATTCCAGGAGACAGGCAGTTCCTCTAGGAGAGCTGGACAGGGCCGTAGAAGGTCCTTAACCCATCAGCAGGACCGGTATCTGCTCCTTTGTACAAGGAGGAACAGGAATGAGCCCTGCCAGAGCCCTACAAAATGACCTCCAGCAGGCCACTGGTGTGAATGTCTCTGACCAAACAATCAGAAACAGACTTCATGAGGGTGACCTGAGGGCCCGACGTCCTCTAGTGGCACCATAGACCTTGATTGGCATTTGCCATTGAACACCAGAATTGGCAGGTCCACCACTGGCGCCCTGTGCTTTTCACAGATGAGAGCAGGTTAACCCTGAGCACATGTGACAGACGTGAAAGGGTCTGGAGAAGCCGTGGAGAACGTTCTGCTGCCTGTAACATGGTTCAGTATGACCACTTTGGTGGTGGGTCAGTGATGATCTGGAGAGGCATATACATGGAGGGACGCACAGACCTCTACAGGCTAGACAATGGCACCCTAACTGCCATTAGGTATGGGGATGAAATTCTTGGACCCATTGTCAGACCCTAAGCTGGTGCAGTGGGTCCTAGGTTCCTCCTGGTGCAGTGGATCCTGGTTCCTCCTGATGCACGACAATGCCCGGCTTCATGTGGCAGAGTAGTTCCTGGAGGATTAAGGAATTGATACGATTGAATAGCCCCCACGCTCGTCTGACCTAAATCCAATAGAACACCTTTGGGATGTCATGAGTCTGTCCATCCGACACCGCCAGATTGCACCTCAGACTGTCCAGGAGCTCAGTGATGCCCTGGTCCAGATCTTGGAGGAAATCCCCCAGGACACCATCCGTCGTCACATTAGAAGCCTCCCCCGACGTTATCAGGCATGCATACAAGCACGTGGGGGCCATAAAAACTACTCATGTACACTGCTCTGTGCGCACTACAAATCCCATAGTCCATCTCAGGAGTGAGCAAGAGAAGGTGGCTACGTTCCTACATACAGTGGACCATGGAAAACGTACATAGTCACCCTCTAACAGAAAATCAGATCAGGAATTGGGAAGAGACTGAGAGCAACAGAATGGACTTTTTGAGTTAATAATACATACTTGGCTAGTAGAGAGTTTAGTATCACTTTATAGCCCTGTGTTGTACGTGATGACGTCACAGGACCAGCCACAACCTGGAACGTTGGAGGGAAGTGTTAAGCAGGGTATATGCAGACTTGCTGAACCAGCTGAATTTCACTCTGTGGGTACCCCTGTCTGTTCAACAGAAGCATGTTCTGCTGGAACACCAGCATACAATAAGCGATTGCATCCTATGGCTGCAGCGCTGATCTATGTATTCTGGCTGGTGGTGGGGAGACCCTGCTGTCAGATTATAGGAGAGTATCAGGGAGATTCCTGCATTAATATCGTTTGTGTAGGTGGGGGGGGGAGGTCTGTGAGTCCAGTGGGTTGTACGGAAAAAAAAAAACCTCAAGCCTTTTCATCTTCACATAGACTTTACGACCCTGGAGCCCAACCTGCGGCCCGAGGGCCACATATGGCCCTTTGGTATATGATGTGAGGCCCTAGGACCTCAGCAGCCTGTAGTGGGAACATTGATTAGGGAAATAGCATTGATCTCTACCAGCCTCATGTAACATGTTCCCAGCTTTGTATTGTCTTCTGTAGCCTTCCCCAGCCAACAATGTATCCTGTCCTCACTCTCTGACCCTCTCTGACAGTCCTCTTAGACATTACATATATTGAACATCATGTGTGGTGCTCTGGTGATGTCGGGGGCCACATTTGGAGCCCCCTGTAGCTCCTAAGTTGACAAACACTGCTTTATGGGCATTTACCCTTACAATGTGTTGGGGGGGAGGGTCAGGGTGCACTGCAAGGGTAGATTTTGTCTAATTGCTAGAGTTGGTCTTTAAAAAAAACTAATTTTTCCTTCTGTCCCATTGAGATTTCCCTTCATCTCAAGTGAAAATCCCCCTATAGTCAGTTGTCACCGGAACAGGTGTCCCCATTGGGTGAACTCTCTATCTATCTATCTATCTATCTATCTATCTATCTATCTATCTATTATATCTATCTATCTATCTATTATCTATTATCTATCTATATCTATCTATTATCTATCTAATCTATCTATCTATTATCTATCTATCTATCTATCATATCTATCTATCTATCTATCTATCTATCTATCTATCTATCTATTATCTATCTATCTATCTATCTATCTATCTCTATCTATCTATTATCTATCTATCTATCTATCTATCTATCTATCTATCTATCTATCTATCTATCTATCTATCTATCTATCTATCTATCTATCTATCTATCTATATCTCTATCTATCTATCTATCTATCTATCTATCTATCTATCTATCTATCTATCTATCTATCTATCTATCTATCTATCTATCTATCTATCTATCTATCTATCTATATCTATCTATCTATCTATCTATCTATCTATCTATTATCTATCTATCTATCTATCTATCTCTATCTATCTATCTATCTATTATCTATCTATCTATCTATCTATCTATCTATCTCTATCTATCTATCTATTATCTATCTATCTATCTATCTATCTATCTATCTATCTATCTATCTATCTATCTATCTATCTATTATATATCTATCTATCTATCTATCTATCTATTATCTATCTATCTATCTATCTATCTATCTATCTATCTATCTATCTATCTATCTATCTATCTATCTATCTATCTATCTATCTATCTATCTATCTATCTATCTACTATCATCTATCTATCTATCTATCTATCTATCTATCTATCTATCTATCTCTATCTATCTATCTATCTATGTCTGTCTGTCTGTCTGTCTCTCTCTCTCTCTCTCTCTCTCTCTCTCTCTCTCTATCTATGTCTGTCTCTCTGTCTCTCTCTCTCTCTATCTATCTCTGTCTCTCGTCTCTCGTCCGTCCGTCCGTCTGTCTGTCTGTCTACCTGTCTATCCATGCTGTTTAGCTGAGTTCCACTTTAGAACATAGTGGGGGAGATTTACTCAAACTGGAGCACTCAGAATCTGGTGCAGCTGTGCATAGTAACCAATCAGCTTCTAGCTTCAGCTTGTTCTATTAAGCTTTGACAATAAAACCTGGAAGCTGATTGGTCACTATGCACAGATGCACCAAACTGTGTGTGTACCAGTTATAGTAAA